AGAGAGAGAGAGAAGTAAAGAGTAGTAGAGTAGTAGAGAGAAAGAGAAAAGGATGAAGGAGGAGATTGCGATGTTTGAAACATCAGCCACGTATCCGTTCGAGAGCAAAGTTCCACAATGTGTTGCAGTTGAGCTGCATATTCCGTATCTATGGATTTGCTGACATCCGTCGACTTACCGGTAACTACGAACTAAACTCAGAGACGTCACGTATTAACCAATCGGATCGGTCGACGGCGTCGTCAACGCGTCTCCGCCAACGCCGCCATATAATACAATGCGAGTAATTTTGAGGTTCGAGTTCAGACGCGGTCACGTACACACAGGAATTACGTGAGACAAACTACGTCGTCCTGTGCGTGATCGCGTGCTGGATGGGCCCGCGCGTGTTGACGTTTATATGGCACGACACCGTCCTGGCAAGGTGTTGCGCGTTCACGCCGAGAAACGGAGAATTCCGAATCAATATACTTCGAGTTCCAACGAGACCCGCCACTGGGATGGGTAGAGATCGGAAAAACCAATGCGCGCGCAAAATATCGTATATGTAATTATACTGACTTTCGGTTTTAATGAGCGATTTAATATCGCGCATATGCGGCGAACATGTGCGCCAACTAATTTTACGAGACATCATTTCATTGCTGAGCTAACGATATTACTGTAACATTGGTAACATCATTTTGAATTGTCCCCCGAAACGGCAATTTTCTTCATGCGATATTTCCCTGTTACATGCTACACACAATGTTTCTCTCTCTCTCTTTTTCTCGCTCCCCATTTCTCTCCTTTTCTCTTTCTATTTCCACTCTCGCTCCGGGTACAAAGCGCGCCGGCAATTTTCCGGTAAAAACCTATACTGGAACGTCCTATGTGTACATGCAGCATGTGTCCTGTATACGGAACGCGTCTAGCTGTTTTCGAACACACACCACGTGCGTGTCGATACACGTTGTCCCAGACACGTCCTCTTGCCGGAGTTAAGCCACGTGTGGGGGTCTACCGCGAAACTACAAAGTTATTGGCGATATATGCGAAAGTTCGTTTAACCCCTTCGTCCCATCGATGAATATGCAAGAGCGGCGCCGAAACGAGCCGACGATGTTTCAATGCTCGTCGTCGCTCCAAGCAACGTGAAATTCGCTCCGACGATGCATCTCCGATTTAGGACGAGGTGGATCGATGCGGAGGACTTTTGAGTATGGACCGATTCAGCCAAGTTAGGAACGTGATATACGTAGAATATACGCTATTTCGCCGGGTGACTCTCTGTGCATTATATCGGCGCCGGTAAAAAGGATCTTTCGCGAATACATGCTGCGCTCGATTTTGTCGATTAGCCGTTAGTTGGCTGCGTTGTGCGACTCGCGATCACACGATAATCACGTAATTGGCATTGACCCAATTAATCCTTCCAACATTTAATGACAAGAGATTGCTCACTTTTAACAAGGATACGCGCTACATTTAAAGTATTAATTTACATATATTTCTTTATATTTTAGCTTTCAATTAATTCTATAATTGGATCATTAAAATTTTTCGATAGTGGTTTAAATTTAGATTTACATTCTAACGATATGTTTGATATGTTTAGAGTTTAAACTGAGATCTATGTTTAAAGCACTATTGAAAAATCGTTTTTAATAGTCTAATTATAGAACCAATTGAAAGCTAAAGTATAAAAATATGTTATTAAGACGAAAAGTACAAAAGAAAATGATTTGAATCGAAAAAAGTCGCATGTAACTCGAAATTCAAAGCTGAATATCTCAAACTGAAGCAAGTCTCAAGTAATGACTATAACTACGGCTTAGGCTGTAAAATTAGTCGGAATGGGAATACAGGGATCAGTGCAACTTCCTCAGATCGTTAGACCGACAACAAAAGTCTCCACGAGAACAGTCGAGACGACAATTCTGCTGTTGAAAAACAAAGTCACGCTGCCATATATTTCCAATTGACAAGGAAAGTAACGGGACGAAGTTTCCAGCTCGGGGCTTAAACTGGTTAGTCCTAGGATCAAAGGGTCAAAGACGCTAAGTATCTTTTAAGTACTGTTTCTGCACTGGAGGTAGCGCGTTTCCTCGCGAAAGAATGTCTGCCGCGTGGCGGACACGTACCACTTACCCCTCGGTCCCCGAAGAGAAGACGCAATAGCTCCCTCAAATAAGGACGGGTTCCTTTGGAGAATTTTCACTGCGTAAAACATTTCTCTCGCCTTCATCGATATTCCATTTGCGACCTCGGGAGTCACGTATGTGCACACACATGGTGCACGTGTACGCGCGCGCACACACGGAGAGAGCGTGCGGTATCGTAGTGTCGCTGGTATAACAGCTATATTCGGAGGCGATCCTGCAGAACCAACCCGTCCAATTTTCCTATAATCCTGGGCAAGTCCTTCCTCTGGGATAACCCGGCCTGCTAGTCCCTCCGGTTTCGAAAAGTTTATCTGTCTAAGGTCTCGCAAAGTTACGGATATTTTGAGTTCTTGGATTCCGACAAAATTTTTCGAAACTCGCGGATCTTTAAACTGTATAATCTTATGCAGTTTGACACTCTGAGATACGCGGAAAGTGTGAGTTACTCACACCGGTGAAAGTGTCGAGACTGCAGACATCTCGGAAGTTTCGTATTTCGGACGATCCGGCTGGTTGAATCATTGAAAATTTTGCGCGATACTTGGCGCCTGAATGTCCTTCGTGTTTCTGAGATTCGAGTTAGGGAAATTCCGAAATGTTTAATCTTAATTTCCTAATGTAGGTAAGATCTCGGAAATTTGTATGCTTGAGAGGATACCGGAACTCCGGAAATTCTGAGAACGTTGGGATCATTTGACTTTCCGGAAACCTTCAAATTATAGCAATGCGGGGAAACTTTGAATTATTAGACTCTGAGTTATCGGGCATTGGTATTTGGGTCTTAAGTTACTCGACACGTACATCGCTAAATTTTCATTAATTTTGCACGAATCATAAAAATTTCAAGCCTTTTAAAATACGAAATTTTCGGAGCGTTTAATCTGAAATATTTCAAAGTGCACACACAAAGACTGGAATTTTCCATCAGCGAAATTTATCGTTTCGAAACTCGCACATCCCGATAACAATTAAATGTAATAATTAACGCAAGTCCGCGCTAATTTCCTCGCATCATGATTATTTGATCCGCGATTTCGAGCATTCTGGCTTACCATAATCCAATTATTAATATTTCCTTGTTGCAGTAAACACCTCAGGAATGCAAAGCGCATTTATTTTGCAGCAACAGATTATCAATAAAAATGCAGTTTTACTGAACAAACGCGCTATTGATCGCGAGCTCCGAGAATTTATGTTCATGCTTATGAATATTCCATAAAAATTTCTCTTTTGAATATTTACTGGCGGGGCTTTTTCAGGGTGTTACTAATAGCCATGACAAGCTTACACGTGTGCTTGTTGGAGCAAAATATTTTGCAGATCCAGATATCGGGCCAGAAAGTAACGTCGAAACCGTCACAAGTGACGGCACAATATTTTGTGCGCACATAAATTTTATATCGCAATCCTTCACTCCAATCCTTTCTCTTCAGTCACGGACTACGCGTATAACACAGCCTATAATTTATCCTTCATAATTTATCCTATTGATTTTAAATGAGAATTTAATACACAATTTAATATACTTTTCAAAAGCTAAAATTATGCGTAACAAGATACGCTGACGAGAGAGTCGCCATTTACTTGTCCTTTTACTTGTCTACATCGCATATTTCACACACATATCAGATTTGTGAAAATATCTATTAAATTTCTCTCAATTTAATAATTTATTTGGACTAATATATTTCAGTTTAATCAACTGACGATTGATTCGAACAAAATAACACAGCAATAGAAGAATATTCAATTGACGATTGATTTCAAGAAATTCAATTAAAGAATGTTCAATTGACGATTAGTATGAGCGAAGGAAATCTAAAATTAACAATTAATAACCGAACGCTCTTCGATTCAATCGATTAAATTTGCTTGTACCAGTCGTCAATTAAACGACCTTTAATTAAGTGAAATTTGCTCAATCGTCAGTTAGACGGTTTTTAGTTAAATTTGCAAAGTTCAATTATTAATTGAACGATCTTAAATTCTCTTCGTTTATATGAATCGTCAATTGAACGGTCCTTAATTGAATTCGTTGAAATCAATCAAACGTTTTCGATGGAATTTGTTGAAATCAGCTGTTAATTAAACGGTCTCCAATTAAATTGGCTTATATTAATCGTCAATTGAACATGATATAATTAATTAAAGAGGTAATTAATTATACGTAAACTTGACACAAGCAAATTGCTGTTTTGTTTTTGACAAAATTAGCTACTCGTCCCTCGCGCAAGATCCCGGCAACATTTGTTTCCCAACGGCACATGAATGAATAGGAATTTCGCAACTCGATTTCCGCTTCGATCAGAAATTCAGGAACAGTCGAAAAACTCCGGCGCGTCCGAAAAATGTTTTTGCTCTAATCCGCCTGCCAAGCTCCATTACTTTTCCTTCGCCCTGCGAGCGCCATTATGCATCTCCTCTCCTCATCCCCTAGCCCAGTTACTCCCGCCGCGCAGGCTTTCTCCGCGGTCCGTTCATGAATATGGAAAATTAGACTTTTCGACGCTCCGTACTCCCCTTTTTTCCACCGCAAATTGATTCCGCACAAGTGGTGCGTGCAGAGTGCCGCGGTTAATTCGAAGAAAAAAGGATAGATATATCCAGAATACTTGCGGGTGGAAATTAAAATTCGCTTTCGGAGCATGGCAGGGACAAGCGTTACTGTGGAGGAGAAAGTCCGACGGTGCCGCCGTGTGGCGAACGAAAGTTACCATTTTGTATCGTTCTTTCGCGATCATCGCACACGCCGTTAGGTCGATTAAAACTTCCAAATTCTCGTATCTTTAGTCTCTCGCTCTCCCGAGTGGCACGTCCTATCGATTAGGTCGACTGAATATCACATAATTCACTTACCCGGTCTTCACGAAGTTTGCGAAGTACTGCATGATGCTCTCTGAAAGTGCCATTTCCAATCTCGTGTAATTTTTCGGAAAATGACCGAAGCCTTCGACCCACAGTGGCGCCCCGAAGACGAATGGCAGCTCCTCTCCGTGCACGGAGCCCATCTTCTGTAAGCAAGATGAACAAACAGTTGTACAAACACTCATGCCTTTGTATGTGTCGTTATTGGCGCATAATGGAAAAAGCATGGCGACAGTGCTGTTCAATTTTGAGCGCAGGCAATAAAGAACGGATTTCGCCAAGATCTCATAAAGTGAAGACAGAAAAGTTTGATATTAATTGGACAGAAGACGCGAAACGTTAAGGTTATTAATCGTGACAGGTTACGTGGCCGATAAATAAAACGGTGGCGTTTTTCACTGACGTGGCTTAATTGCACGAAGCGCAGACTATAAATCAGAAATGCATCGCCTAATACCGCCTGGGATTTAGAAATGGCCGATGTTGGCGCGAGCTTATCCGCAAGCTCGATCATTGCGGACACGTCAGGCGCGATTCAATTTCTCCGGCGTCTTCGCTGGAAAATTACGACATGTTCTGGCTTAAACGCGTTTAAAATAACTCTCGCACCAAGACGAATAAGGCGTCCGAGAATGGACACGTCAGTTTGCGGCTGCAGAATCTGTTTTATTATCGAGTCATCATGGTTGTCCTCGTAGGATTTAAGCGGATGGAACATAGAAAAACGTAAGAAAGAAAATTGAGCAATAAGAAAATTGACAACAATCACAACCGATTATAATTGGATTGTTAAATTAACGACATATTTAGTAGGAGCAGTGGCGACTTATAGGAATAGTTAAAAATAACTCAAATTGAGTATAATTTGACACTACGGATTTAACAGTGTAAGAGGAATTATCATCTCTGGTTGATCAATTTGTTTACTGCTCATGTTTTTTTGCTCAAGTTTGCCTATGTGCTCCTGGTGTTATAAGTCACGGGATCAGAAGTATCGGAATAATCCAGGATTAATCTAGAAACAGATCTAAATGCTGTTGCTGTCTGTAAAATTCGAAATTACAGAACGCTTTCTGGGTGTCATGCACTCACGGATCTCGGGGCCTATGAATTCGGAGATAGCGGACTCCGGAATCGATCTGAGATGCAAGCCCGTAGTACCGAGAAAGCTATCTGTTCCAGCAAGCAGTGGGATGGAATCGGCGATTCCAACGCGATTACGTACGTACACGTTCGTGCCGAATGGCGCACGAAAGGGCATTTGCCAAGCGGACGAGCTTAGGTCGGAATCGGTATTTCGGTACTATCGGTAGTGGGTTAAGACACTGTTCTACCAATAGCGCGGAGACCTAAGACCAGAAGAAGGAGGAGCAAAAGGAACAAGGGAGGGTGAGAGAGACAGGATAGAGTGGATGACTGTAAAGGTGAGATTATAATTTAAAAAGGGTTTCCTTCGTGTGAATAACGGAATTAATTTTGGACGATATTCAATTCAAACAGCGGCACCATACGACTACCATCGCCATCAGTTTCCCACATTCATTCTTTTTGCTTGGTCCATGATAATCATCCATCATCTAAAATAGGAGAAAAGAGGAAAAGAGAGAGAAGGAGCACGAGAAAGAGGAGGAAATAAGAAAAGACAGAGAAATAGAGGTAAAGAGTGTGAGAGAGAGAGAGAGAGAGAGAGAGAGAGAGAGAGAGAGA